CCTACCAAAAATTCTAATGAATATAGAAGATGTACACAACGTATTACAAGAGTACCCTGTACTAACAGCTGAAAATGAAAATTTTCTCCTAGTCAGTGACTGGCAAAATAATATAATTTTCTTGTGATAAAAATATAAGTTCGTAATAGTTCGTTAATAACATTGAAAACAATTTACGGCATGTTTCAATACTGTGCAAAACATTTTTACAAATGTTCACAATTCATGGACTCATTAATGATCATTATATTATACCATTAGCATTTGTTTTTACTTCCCAATAAAGAAACTCAAACATATATTGAAGCATTTACGCACCTAAGGGAAGAGTGTTCAATGCGAGGATTTATGTTTTCACCAGACACTGTATTTGCTGACTTTGAAATTTCAATACATACTGCAATTCAAAAAACTTGGACAGCATCTAAAGTTAAAGGATGTCGCTTTCATTTGGCCCAATCCTGGAAAGACTTAATACTATAATATGAAATTGACAATATGAAATTAGTAATAATAAATAAAATTCTACTTTAATAATTAATTAATATATTATTTCTATAGGAGGCGAAAAATTCAAGCTATTGGTTTAACTGATGATTTCAGAACTTCTCCAGTAAAYGGTAAATTTTTAAAGAGGTTTTTTGGACTACCTTTTTTACCTCCTGAAATGGTTAGTGATGTGTTTGTGTTTAAGATTATGRCCATTGCTCCAACTGGTTGTGAAGAATTTATAAACTATATATTAGATAACTATATTTCCGAAAATTCTAAATTCCCTAATCATGTTTGGTCTGAATGTTCAAATCATATACAAAGAACAACAAATGCATGTGAAGCTTTTCACTCAAAATTTAATTCATATTTTTACTCTAGTCATCCACATATTTACCAATTCATTGACATCTTAAAATCATTCCAGATTAATACATATGTCTTAATTAATAGCGTTAATACTAAAAAGAAAGATTATAAGGAAAAAAAACATTTAAAATTAGAATACCTACTTAAATAGGTAATCAAATCGAAAGTTTAAAAAAAATGAAATTTCACCATCAAATTTTACAATCATTTAAATTTAAACCACTAAAACGTATATCATGACATGACAATTTATTATTACTACATATCATTATTAAAAGTTATTATCATAACATATGATTTTTTTTATGAACTGATAATTTATTATAACATTAATTTTTATATTATTATTATTACAATTATTATTAATTTGATTATCATGACAAAATGTAAGACATGATTATTATTATTATTTTTGCAATTGAATTTAACTGATAATTTTTTATTACCATTTTTAAATCGATTATATCGATAATTTCGGACGCAAGTAGTTTGCTCCCGTTCTAAGTTAGTGACTCTCTCTCATAGGCGTGCGCAGGGGGTATACAGGGTATGCAGCTGCATACCCTGAAGTTCTGTGAGGGGCGAACGTCGACTCTGGAAAATTTAAACATCCAGTTATCAGTAATCCACTACCAAGTATTTGCGAAATACATACTTCTTGTATTGTGTAATGGTATTTATTATTAGTCTATTATAGTTTTTTAATTAAACAGTAGGTTTTTCAATATTTGTGAATTGTGTATTACATATTATCAGAATTTTATGATCTTAAAATAACTTTCAGTGCGCGCTATTGTCAGTCTTCTGCATATCCTGAAAAAGAAGCCTGCGCACGCCTATGCTCTCTCTAAAATAAATGTATATTAGCGCATGTAACTTATACCTAGGTATGATRGTGTGCGTTTGTTGATTCCTCGTTCGTTTCCTAATATTGATAATGACTATTAGGAACCACTACCGTAGCGCTATTCAGTTTAAAATAAACTTAATTGACTATAGGCCTGTGTGTCTGAGCACTGTTCCAATATAAAGGTACGAACGAAGAAGACTTGAAATAATAATATTAAATTCGGGTTTTCGGGTCGGAAACAGTTTTATTAAATACAACAAATATAATTAAACACTTTGCAAATTCAGATTACCTACCTAGCCCGTACTATACGGTCGTCGTTTCACACGTACAACCATCGTACCCTCCTACGTTCTCGCCGAATCACTCAGCGACAACCGGACTGACCGCGCCAGTGTGTCTGGCGGCGTAATATAGGAAATATTTATGCTACCTCAACATATCTAGCTTCATTGACCTATTTTAATATTTTATAATTCAAATTACATATATATAATAATATTATTTTTACGATTGTCTACAATATAGAAGGCCCCTCCTAATCACTGGTCCCCGCGCACTTGCACGGAGTGCCCATCCGCTAGCGCCGTTACTGTTGTTATGGAATTCATTTTTCTGTAATGATTATTATTTTTACATTTTTGTCTAGTATCGGTAATATACCCAAACTGCATAAGTATTGGTAAACTCCCCGTGACTTATTGTTATTATGGATGAAGGCTTATTAAAAATCTACTATACTTTTAAGAGTTTTATTTATGCATTACAATTAATCTTATGTAATATCAAATAATATTTATTATACTAAAATTTAAAAAAAWTATGTATTTATTCTTTTTTTTTATGGTTTGTTGAGAATATACGCAGTATAACCATGGTATTTTAGGAAAAGCTTGAGGGTATATGCCGTAGGTATGTGTAAAATACCTTTTAGAAACACTACTGCTTATCGACCCAGTACAATGATCGAACTGAATGTAGTTAGATAGCTATGATAAAAAAATTGGCCAGTACCCAATAGCCTTAAAAGAACCAACTGAGTTACACGACCTTATTCAACTAAAAAATATAAAGTAAATGCAATTTAAATATAATGTAAACCAGAAATATACACATATAATATAACCGTATTTAAAACATTTAACGTACTTCCACTTTAAACGATTTATCGTGAACGTACGATTTGAATTCCGTTAGTTCAACATTAAGTTTGTCCATATCGATATCCATTTTTTCTCTTTCTTTTTTTATTAAATTTAGTCTAGAAAATGCATCTTTTTGTGCTTGTAGAGCATGGTGAATTCTGTAAGAAATTTTTACTTATTTAAAACAAAACCCTTATTTTTAGTAGCTTTTTTATATGTACTGTCTAGGATCATCTAATTCCTTGATAAAATTTCTTATTGGTTTAACTTTAATATATTTTTTCATTTTTTCGTAATAATATTTTAATTTATAAAATTTTAACAAATTGATATATTTATAATATCATAATATATCAATGTAGAAATATCTTAGCAACATAATCATATGAAAGATTAACACATTTCTGTAAAACATTATAAATATAACTAAATATAACTATATGAGCAATTCAAGCAAACTCTTATTGATTGTAATTATTTAAGTAGCCAATTAGGTACCTACTTACCACTGAAGTCATAACTATATAATAGTGTCCCTCAATATTTTACAAACCTATCGTAGCTTATTATTTTTGTCCGAAAAATATAGTAAACAACCAGTAACATAACATAATATTTTAATACATAATACACAAGGGAAAATTAATAAACTATATAAAATCTGTTTTGCACAATCAGTGAAATAGTCTACATGTATTATTTCATTGTTTTTTTATGTTCATGGATATTCTTACCATTATTCAACCACTGCTGTCGACTGTTAACAAATTACAATTTTAAAGTCTACATTTAAAGAATTTGTATGCATATGAGAAAACTAGAAATAAATATTATACCAACATAACAATATAAAAACTATAAAAGCGGGTAAGTGAATGTTGCTCTGCAATACAGTATAGCTTACAAATAGGTTACTGTAATGGATGGTATTAAATTAGAATTAAATGATATAATAATATAATTATATTATACGAAAAACGATTCTGAGCGGAGCCGGTTTGTCAGTCTAGAACATTTTATAGTTTATACCATATTATTGATTTTATTGTTATTATTAAAAAAAAAAAAATGTAGGTACCTGTAAAATAAATTCCGAATTAATCAAAACAGATTCAGATTCACTCAGTCATTTAGGTATAGTAGGTGTATTATAAAATTTATTAAAAAGTATTAATATAAATCATGATGACATTAATTATTTATATTAGAATATTATAAAATATAAAGTATACTCTAGAAATATTATGTGCTCAATAATAATAATTTTAAATTATAACAATGTACTTAACTAAAATGTTTGTTCTTGATTATTTAATATGTTATTTCATCCAAATTTAAGCTTAAAATAACTTTAAAAAAACTGTTTTGTTTAGTTTTTAGATTTTTTTGTTTTGTCACAGAATTTACTACTTATGTAGAATCTTGTTTTAAATTTTTAATTCTTAGCTATAAAAGTAAAACCTTTTATAAATGTTTACTTAGATATCATAACTATATGATATTGAAAAGAGTATAAGATTTTATGTTTATGGCTTAGGTATTGGTTTTTATCCTTGGCGTATTTATAGATAAATACGGGGTACAATAGAGGTTACACTCACTAATATACAGTTAGCCCCTACCTAATTCCTTAATACTTAGCAATAAATATCCGAGAAAGTCAGCGTTTTGTGTTTATTTAACGCATAATCATATAAAGTGTCCTGGAATAAACTGTTGTAGTACCTATCTAGGAAGGTAGGTTAGCGATAAGAGAGTCACGAGCCAGACATGACACAATATAATTAAATAAAAATACAAATAAGCAGGAATAGGAATAAGACCTATAATCAAATTAATAAAAATATTGATTCGTGTTGTGATTTGGCCACCCCTGATACAAATATATCGTACGTATTCTAACCAATGCCTTTTGTACGCCTGTAAAATATTGAAGGTCATCGGAGATTGTAATTTTTAAATACGAACGGAATGTGTGAGTATATGTCTGAGGGAGGGGGCAGATACCTGTTGACGTCTTGCCAACTGTATTACTACTCATATTTACCATTATCGCAGTCTACAGTTTAAACTTCGCCTAGTCAGACATCTGTCGCTTGCTTCTCCTCAGCTAACAAACCGGTAGTCGTCATTGTCGTCGTCGTCGTTGGTGGTGCTTAAATATTATGGACAAGTTGAAGGCTGGATGGTTTAGTGAGGTCACGGACCTGTTGCCGGGCAGAAGTTTTTCCATGGAAGTGGAACAGGTGCTGCACAAGGAACAGTCCAAATTCCAGGAAATATTGGTTTTGAAAACGTGAGTTTTTACACGCACATTAAAATCGTATGATTACTGCATTGCGTGTGTATACTATAACTATATACGTCCCTAACAAAAGAATTTGTTTATTTGGGTCAAATTAAGCGGTGATCTATTTGTCCCCAATATCCAGATTATCGCATTGTCCCGAATAACTGTATAATTTTACATATTTACCTACAACATATATTCGATAGTGATTGCCATTAAAGCCCCCTCTCCCAATTAAGCGATTATCTCCTTTATATAATGTGGAATCCTAATTAAAAGACTTTATTGTGTGATATAATTTAACGGTAATCTATGTTTCAATGTGTAATTATATATAATAATTGAGTGTATACATATACGACATATTACATAGGTATTTTAATGTCATGTAATTATATCATAAATTTTTAACTGAATTGGTAATAGATAATCAACTGTTCAACCATTCTTAAGAAAATTATATTATTATTGTGCAGGCCCGTAGCTATACCAAATTTTCAGGTGGGATAAACTAAATTTTAGGGAAGCATTAAAATATGTAAAAAAATATTAATTTCTAATGTTTTTAATATTTTTTGAGGGGACAACAATTGGGTTTTAGGGAGGGAAACGCCCCTCTTGACCCTCCTCCGCACCAACGAGCCTGTTGTTGTGTTATGATATTTTATAAATAAATGCATTAAAAAAATACAATTGTCTAGAAGTGGCCAGAGAGCACTATATTTACATATTGGGTATGTTATTTTTAATGAACCAAACGCATTCAATCATCGAGTGAAAAACGTAAATGTATTACAAAAGGTACCTTGTTGATACGTAGGTTGTAGGTAGTCAGTAGTATTGTGTGATATTTAAATAATTATAGCAGTACCTATTTTGTACCTTGTATTTTGTGCCTAAATTGATGTATAATACATTTTATATTATTACGTTTTTTATTATAATATTATAACCTAACCTACTCATTATACAAATAGGTATATCGATGCAAACTTACATTCACCAGTTTTAGATGTGTGTGTATTACTTATTAGATTTAATTAATTACTAATAGATTTTATCAACTTAAAAGTTAGGACATTATTTGTGTTCTTTCAGTGGTTTTATACTACATTTTAATTTCAGCCTAGTAAGTATTTTTAATTATTAATATTTCATACACTCACAACTTCCTTAAAAATTTAAATAACATAAAAACCAATTATAATTATGGTTTCATTGCCCATTTGTAACATAGATACATCATATTATTATCATATCATCATATTATCGGTATCTAATTGTTTATTTTATTGTTATTTAGGTAGGTACTTACTACTACAATTATTTACTTTTTTAATATAAATTATAATTATCGACTTCGCAACTATAACTTATTCAAAGTAATTAAATGTAATTATTATAATTTTATATTATTATGTAATTAATATACCCACTATACTAATTACTAGGGAATTATCTTTTTTTTAAATTTTTTATTTAAAAAATATTATAACACAACAATAATACAATAAGTATGTATAATCTTAGATATTTTTGAAGTATGTTCTAGCATTATACTCTATTCAGTTTAAGTTGACCCACTCGTCAGACGAAAACCGATCATGATTGCGCATGTCTCGCAGCGCTATAGTCCTCCTGCCCGGCGCCTGGCGGTTGTAGTACCACGCATCTGCACGCAATGTGTATTCCATACATATTATATTCCATACATTWTAGTAGACTGGTTTTTTTTTGTGAACCCTTAGCGGATCTTGTGGAATGCCTGGAGGGCAGCTGCAGAATGTACTGTGGTAGGGAATACAGTAATGCACATAATACAAACACGTTTTATGGCACTCGTGTTTTATCTTTTTGTATGTTGTGTACTGCGCTCGTAAACAACTATTTTTTACACTGTTTTTTTCTACCACGGATAAGATATGTGTTTTAAATAATATTAAATTAAAAAATGTTGTATTAATTGTAATTTTTTAAAAAATTTTTTTTTTATGTTTTGTTTGAATATTAAAATATTTTACAGTAATTTTAGTAAATTATGTTTAACTCTTTCAGTCCTGATTTCTATCTAAAAATTCCTAATAGTATAAAAAAAAGTAACTATAAATAGATAATAAATAACAAAATGATAAAATAATAATAAATAATGGTTATGGTTTGTAACGTATTTGTTAACACTTTTAAAATTGAAATATAAAATCATTTGTATAGGAGTTTTGTAGTTTAGGAGTTACCGCGTACATTACGCGTTGAAATGGTTAATTAAAAAAAACGCGGAAATTAATTTAATTACATTATGAACCACTAAGGCGAAATGTCCGCTAGGTTCACGAAAATCATCGGACACTTTTCAAGTCGTGGACTATAGTGTCCGATGTCGCCTTACCACCTATTGACTATGACACCAGTCGACTCCGGTCTCCGATATAGTTAACGACGATCGGCGACCAATCACRGATCACCCTTCACCGACCAGAGGGGTCTGACCGTTTCGGCGGCTCAGTATGCATGCGCGAGAGTGGGTCAACTTAAACTGAATAGAGTATAGGTATATTGGTTTTGGTATATATTAGGGGTGGCTAACTTGCGGCTCGTGTCGTAGTCGTATGAGGATTGCGTCTAATTAATAAAAAACCAAAGTTTATTTATAAACGATAAAAAACGATAAAATTAWAAAATGTATTTATAAAAATTTTGGCTCTTGATATCATTGTTTACGAAGTCCGTTAACGTATTCATGTTGGCCACCCCAAGTATATACGTATAATACATCGTCACTAGATTGTAATGTAATATCAATGTATAATTTTTATAATATAATGGTAYTAACATCAAGTTTTCTTTTTAATACTTATTTAAATTATTGGTTTGTCAATAGCAAATCACACGGCGTCGTATTGGTACTTGATGGAATGATTCAGTGCACAGAATTTGATGAGTATTCTTATCAAGAAATGATTTCCTTTTTGCCACTCTTCAGTCACCCAAAACCACAAAAGGTCGGTAATTTTAAGATGAATTAATAATGTGTACATTTCCATAATGCATATTTGTCAATTGTGCTWATCTTAATTTAATTTCATCGATAGGTACTCATCGTAGGTGGTGGCGATGGAGGGGTTGCTAGAGAAGTAGCCAAACATCCATTGGTCGAAATCATTGACCAAGTGGAAATCGATGAACGCGTAATCGAATTGTCTAAGATATATTTACCGTTCATGGCTCAAGGATTCGACAGTCCCAAAGTTAACTTGCACGTAGCTGACGGTTTCAAATTCATGGATGAACACTTTCAATACTATGACGTCATTATAACCGATTCTTCTGATCCCATAGGTATACATTATACCATCATCGATCGACATATATTAAGTATATTAATTAGTAGGCCAACAGGTCACTATAAGAAAAATATAAATAATAGACACACACCTGCAAAGCACATTATAAGTTGATAAATTAAGGCTCATAACTCATAAGATTTCACGTGATTAATTTAACAAGATTATAAATTTCAACAATATAATATTATAATCTAAGCTCTACTAATAAGTGTACCTATATTAATATAATGGATACATCGAAAAACAGATTGAATGTAATTTTACATTTGTAATTAGGTGCCTATGTATTATTATGTATTAAAGCGTTTGTAAGACGGGGTTGTCATGATGACAACATTCATTATACTTTTTGGGGGAATTATGTCGATGGGATATGAATACGTGCCCGTTTAAGTTATATGTGTTATTAAATGTAGATTTTAATACTAATAACTAATGAGTCTTATTACAATAAATATTTTAATATACTTAATTCATTCATATTAATCAAAAAGTAAATTTATAATAATGCAGTGTTGTAATTAGGAATTTAATTTGAGGGGGGGGGGGATTACACGTTTTTAGCAAAACTGTAAGCTTCATACAGTAACTTACCCCATCAAATATAAAATGTTGGCAGTAAAATAAAAAGGAGGAGCTATCCCCCTCATCACACCTTAATTACGTCTCTGTAATAATGATTGTAACATTTTTTTTTTTTTTATACACAAGGTCCAGCTGTTTCACTATTCCAAAAGTCTTACTTTGAATTGATGAAACGCGCTCTGCGTCCCGGCGGCATTGTTTGTTCACAGGCAGATACTTTCTGGGGACATTTGAAAAACGCGAAGTCGATGTACAACCATTGCAAAGAAATATTCGCTAAGTCGGCGTACGCGACGTCGTATGTGTCCACTTACCCGGCGGGTCAGATCGGTTTCGCACTCGGTAGTCTTGACAAGGTATCATACACCTGTAGAAATAAATATAATATTAATAATTATAATAAATTATCGAAAATATTATAATGTATATTAGGTACCTAATAAAATAACTAAATAAAAATGAATGATATTATAGGGAGTTATGCGTAATCCCTTAATAAATGATGCATAGTTTAATCGTCATTCGTTAAGGTCAGGAAAGTTAATTATTATTTTTGTTTAACTCAGTTGAGTTAAGTCAATGGGACCGAAGCACATGTCTTAGATAAATAAGTGGTAGTAAATAAAATAAAAACCTACTTTGGAATGTCCAATTTTTTATGTTCCTATCTTAGTATGGATTTTGTAACAAACTATCTAGACTTTTTAGGAAATCGATTTTCAATTTTCAATTCTAAAGAATCTTAAAATGATAACCTGAATATTTTTTGTTAATCCCCATTTAATATTAGTATTACATTGGTATTTATTTTGGGCACATACTGATTTTAAATCAAAAAAGCGGGAAGTGGATATCGCTCTGCTGTACATTAGGTGGTGGGGTGGACCTCTGACTAGAGTAGGTTAGATTTGAATGCAATGATAGGTATCATTGTATACGAAAAACGATTCCGAACGGAGATGATTTGTCAGTCTAGAATATATTATATTTAAATATTGTCGTATATTCTATTTTGAAACAAATATACTATTTTTCAATTAGGACGCATTTTGAATAGGGCATGGTTAATCAATTTTTCCAAAAACATTGCATGACGTAGTTATCATAATTCATAATACCTTATATTATCATAGATATACCATATACATATACGAGTTGGTTTACGGATAAATCGTTATCATTACGCGATTTGATAAAAATTTAAAACTCAAACGCYCAAAACATTTTTCCTATAATGACACTTCAAATTTTCTCTATAGCTATTAGAAGCAAAACTTATGGAACACTTAGTGTTGAATATTATAACCTTAGGTATAAATACAAACAGTATTATGAATTTTGAACTACAAAATAATTTGCAAATATTCATGGTTTTGACGAATTTTTGTCAATATTTGAAATTCAAATGCTAATAAAAATGTAATTTGAATTTCCGGTGAACATTTTTTTTGTGATAAAGATTGACAAATTTGTAAGTAATCTTGTATTAAATTTTCAAATCTTAGATTTAAAAAGAACATTTTTTATGAATTTCTAGCTTAAACAATTTGCGAATTTTTGTGATTTTTACGTATTTTGTCAAAATACAAAGCTTTAATGCTTATAAAAAAAATTATGACTATGAATTTATTTTATTTTTCAACTGCTATTGTAACAATAAGTTAAGAGCCTTGTATTAAATTTTCAAGATTTTCTACCCCAAAAAAAAAATGTTTATCGATATTAATTTTAAAAAAAAAAACTAATAATGATCGAAAACTGCATACATGAATATATATACTGTATATACATGAAGAGTTTAACTTAAGTCAACAATTTTTGAAAATTTCATGGTGGATAGAATATACTTATATAAACATTCGGTGAAAATTTCATGTATCAATGGTCATTTTTTTTAAAGTTTCATCAAAAATCAAAATCGATTTTGTCGAAAACTGATTGTACGTAAAATTTCCTGTTTTTCCCTTAATTTTTAGTTTGTGTACCCCGATTATTTAGAAAAATATTAAGAATTTTTTACTTTTGACCCCCAAAGTACCAACTAGATTTACTTAAATTAAATAGAATTAAATCGACACTTCGAAAAAAAATTTCAGAAAAATTGAAAATTTCAGTCATCTATTAATATCTCAAAAAAAGTCAAAATATTTTGAAAATGAAGGCATGTAAAGAAAATATCAATCTAAATAACTTGTGAAATTTTCAAGTATCTAAAACTTATACTTTTTGAATAATAACAAATATTTAAAATCGTTTGAGGATAAATCGTTATCGTTACGATATTTCGTAAAAATTTAAAATTCAAACGCACTTAAAATTTTTCTTATAGTGATGCTCTCAGTTTTCTCTATAACTACTTGAAGGAAAACTTATGGAAAACTTAGTGCTGTGTTTTTAATCCTTAGTTATAAACACAAACAATTTTATGATTTTTCAGCTTCAAAATTACTTGCAAATTTTCACGTTTTCGACCGATTTCGTAAAAATTTGAACTATAAACGCTTATAAAATAAAATTGTGACTAACGATTTTTAATTTTTTAGCTACAATAAGAACAACTCATAAGGAACCTTGAATTAAATTTTCAAGTTTTTTTGGTCATCCAAAATTTTTTACCGACATTTAAAAAAAAAAATTCTCATAAAAATCGAAAATTTCAGTGGTCTATAAATAACTCATAAAAGTCAAAAATTTTTGAAAATTAAACTGTATATAGATATCACTAACATAAACATTTGGTGAAAATTTCAAGTATTTTTAGTGATTAGTTTTTGAATTACAACCATATAATAAAATCGATTTGGTCGAAAACTGGTTTTGCGTAAAAATTCCCGTTTTTCTGTCATTTTTTTTCTCGATTTTTTTGAAAACTGTTGGAAAATGTTTACTTTTGACCYCTATAATGCACCAAGGATATTCACTTTTACATCGGAAACCACCCCAAAGTTTGAAATTGAATTATTATTTCGACTTGTTATGCTGTACAAAGACACAAAAAAAAAAACACATATCATTGTAAAATCAATACATTCATCACTTCGTGCAGAATCTAAAAGTGTTTCCTAAAGAGTATAGTCTAGAAGCTTATAAATTAAACAWTTTTTTCGAATTTATAATTAAACTTTAGGAATTATGTTTAATTTACTACCGCTTTTATTCATTTTTATAGTTATTCAAACAAGAATACTATATATTTGATTTTTCCTAAAAAATTGAATTCATCAAAACGTTATCGAATTACAACAGTGGTAATGGACCATTTTTTGTTGTAGTAATCCAGACATCGAACAATGTCCTTGTTGCCCGTTGGGAAGAGCCCTTCACCCCTTTACTGGCCACATATACCAATGTGTTCTCAACTAATATTTTAAATTGTTGTCTAGTGTTTTTGAGCGATAGRTGTAAGATATGTTTTATTTGATTTTTATCTTACAGGATACTGACTTTTTAAATCCGGTGTACAAGTTGACTAACCAACAGCGAAAGGATATGAAGCTTCGTTACTACACTACCGACATTCACAAAGCGGCGTTTGCACTGCCAGCGTTTGTCATCGACGCTCTCGACGACATCGAACCCAACTTGTAATTTATAATAGTATGTGACATGTATATTATACATCATTGATACCTATCAAATAATGTCCATATTAATTTGCATTACAATATGTTGCGATAATACGATACTTATAATATCATACTATGTTGTAACACACGATTATWATAATAAAAGATTTGAATAAAATATCCAATTAGATCGTTAATTATTGTTCTTGTATGATTTTACCCAACAGTTAGGTGAATTTACTTAACTTCACAATCAGGGTCCGGTTGGCGATCTAGATTAGCGTAGACGTTAATGGTAATCCTTCGACACCGCATAGTCTTTCTGTCTTTCTYTAAATAATAAAAATGTTTAATAATTATTAATAATATAATTAATTTTATACTTATATTTAATTTTGTGTTATGCATGGGAGTTCACCAATTGCGCTTAAAATGCCCTTTTATGTACCAATTGCGCTTCCCTAACAGCAATAGGACCCTCCTGGGATCGTTGATTATCGTCCCAGTGGGAACTGTGGACYATCAGCGGTAACAACCTACAATTATGGTCTACGACCGTCCAAGGCAGTCCAAGGACCGTCATAGGCATGATTAATGCGCGTTAATGCCTTTTAGGTGCCATAAACGGTCCATTTCAGTATTGGTATTACCCAAATGGTTCTCAGTGCATATAATATAGGTATTATTTATTTAATTATTAATATTATATACTGTTAATTTCTCTTACAACACTATTCTTGCTGCACTCGCGCACCAATACATGATGTAATTAATAATTTGTATGACAGGTATAATTGCAGGTTAACATTTATATAATAAAGCATTTTTTTATATTTGAATGAATAATATTTTGTTTTTTTTATTGATATCAAAAAATACATGACGTAATAAAACTATAAGTTATTTGTATTTATGAGTATTCATAGTTATAAAGATCTTTAAACAAATATTATATAGCTTTAAGCATAGTTTTATATAAACAATATAAAATAAATAACATTACAATTATGTGAAAATAAAAGTACAATTAATGTTAATCTTTAAAATTTGCATCAATTAACAAGATAAAGATCTGGAAAGGTAAATTTCCTCTGCCGCATACATCATAGAATATTTAGTTTTTTATTTCAAACATACATATAGCATAATATTTAAAATTGGATTATAGTAAATTATAAATATTTTAATACCTGCAATTCTAAGTAGACATCTAAGTCAAAAACGATTTAAATYAAAGTTAAAGTTTTAAATAAATTATAATACATAACATATACATATATATTTAGACATAAACTTAGTTTAGTTAATAAGACATCATMATCAGATGATTATTGTTAACAAAATAATACAAATTAGACTAATCATGTATAAATTAATCTGAATCATTGGAAAATTGATCATTATTTGAAGGATCCTTAGTTTGACATATTTTTTGCATCCTTCTTTCATACCAATCGCCTGCATTTTTTAGCCATCCAGTTATAGCTTTGTTAATATCTAAGATTGTAGCACCTTTTATGTTTTGAATCAATAGACCTAAAATTATACAGAAAATTAACAATAATATTTTATTAAATTTTCAAAACAAAAATAAAATAAATAAAGTAAATAAATAAAGATGACATAAATTAGGTATGGTGAATATTAAAAAGATGCAATTTTTAAATTAGTAAATTATTTAAACATTCATACAACTTTTGATAGTGGAATTAATAAATAAATATATATTAAATTTAAATTAAGTTAAACAACATGTACATATTATGCATAAATAAAATAAAATAAGAAGATCAATTATATTTTAATTTCATCCAGTCTCTAATGTAACAAAAATTTAAGTAGGCCTAAGATGATTTTATTACATACTTGACATAATTTTGTACAATATAAGGATTTTTTATATAGCTTTTTTTTCTTGAATGTTGTTTATTCCTCGTCCAGTAAGAAAATTTTTTTGACCCAACTCATTTGTTAATATTCAATCTAGTATTGCTTTGACAGCTTGTAAGACACTAGTAACTCCATATGGTGTTTTTATATGTTTCTAAAATAAAAAATAGTTAACAATTTTTTCAAATTTTTAAATGATTAAGAAAATTAATACATACAAATATTTTTAAGAGCTCACGATCATTTTTTAATTCCTGATTAAATGTATCTAATTTTTCCATAGTGATTATGGGGAAATACTTAAGAATATTATTTTCCTCTATATTACTATCATTTAATACTGGCTCAGTGTTTTTCAAGTAAATTAACATTTTTTCTATTTTTGATTGATTTAATAAAACCTTGTTTAGTTTAACATTTATCTAAGGTAAAGTAGTTGTAATGTAAGTCATTAATTTTTCATAATTTACTGAAAACAAAAACCATAGGTGAATAATTAAGTTATTTTTTAACATAAATAAGTTGTAAGCAGTGTGTTAGCATATTGTTTTACTATCAGTCATGTGAAAAATATTTTTTTAACTTATTCTAAATACTAACCAAACACAGACCTGAAAAGTAATTAAAATACTACCCAGACAATTAACTAAACTAAATATGTATTTAAAACATTACTCAATTTGAGTGCCTAAGTCTCTAAGATTCCTCGGTTGCACCAATGACTGGGCAACTTTTGAGTCTAAATTTGTAACTGTTATAACAAAATTATAAAGGAATGGTTGATAGTGAACGTCTGGTGTCATTTTTGAAAATTGTTGTACATATTTGTTCTTAATTTTAATTTTATAAATTTCAATAGAATAGAATCCTTTAGGTAAGTAAATTTTTTTTATTCCTGGCTTCTTGTTTAAAGTRGATTATCAACAATTTTTCTGATTTAATCAATCAATTTTCAGGAAATTAAAAATAATTAAAAATAAATAATAAAATTTTAAACTAAATATTTGTTTTGTTCTTTTAGAACTTAATTTCATATGAAGCATAAAACCAAATCAATGTAGTGGATAMCTACTAAATTTGAAAAAATCGACCAGTAATATTTCATTACGTGTAGTATTTTATATATTAGTAGTATATTATATATCAAATACTTAACGTGACTGGCTACAGCCATTTTTATCAAGTTTACCATTTAAAAATATATAATATGTACTAGATGTACATAATTGAGTAAAGTTAGAATGAGAGTTAAAATTTTAAATGATTATTAAAATAATTTTCTACAATAGGACCTACAACACTCATCTTTTAAAAAACATGCACATGTAAATTGTAATATTAAATTATTAAATTTGTTTATCATACTTTCATGATGTTTGTTGGTTGATTTTGGGGTAGACACAACTAAACCTTGAGATACTGAATTGAATAATTCTGACATGGGTGCTAAATCATAGGAAAGTAAGTTTACGGCGTGAAATCATTAATTTTTCATCGGAAAATTTTGCATTTGGAGATTTTCCTAATGAAGAATCAATGGCAGATAACTCCGTTGTGACTTTATTGAACCCTGTTAAAAAAAATGTATTAAAAATATATCAAAATTTATATATAAGAAACAAAATAAAAGTATTACCTAAATTATTGAAGTTTAATGTTTCAGATGAAATAACAGTCGGTGATAAAGGTTGAGATATTAATTCGCCAGCTTTTAATTCGCAGTCTTTCGAAAAACTGAAATTGTTTTCATTATCTGAATTTACAGGAATTTTTGCCATTTTCTTTATATTTTTTGTATTCCTATATTATTATAGTAAGATTTACTATAATATATTACTTTGTAAATCGTTTTTTCTGAAATGGATTATAAGCCAAAGGTGGAGTTAAATCTTATGGCTTTCGTTTATGTTTAACAATGTTTTTAATTACGTGGGTGTGTTATCATGGAGTGGTTTTTTTGCAARCATACGACATTTAAATTTGCTTTGTTGAGCATCACTTTCTGATTTTAAATCTTCAGAAGTTGACATTACTTCAGCCATCTTTAATTTTTGTTTAGCTCTAATGAAATTATCTATAAATTGTTATAAACAATAATAACAAAATTATTAGGTACGTTTTAAGTAAAAATAGGAAAAAAATTAAGGACACTCACCAGAAGAAGCCCAATTGGCAATATTTGTATTAAAATACAAAGAAAATAGTATATATTATAATAATTAATTATAAGTAATAATTAATGATAAAACCCGAAAGCTTCATATATATTTAGGTTCAAATTAAAACATTTTTGGTGGTCTGATTTGGGAAACTCCCGGGAAGGTCTTATTAGTATATAATGGGAACCTCCTGCTAGGGCTTAGGTGGACATTAAACGGTCGACGCCTGGGCTGGTCAATGCTGTTAGGGTTAAAACATTTTAGGATTGATATACCAATTGCGTACTAAAAATTAAAGGGTCGATATAGCAATTGCGCTTTAAAAATGTTAGGGTCGATAGACCAATTGAGCTCTATACATTTTACATTACCTTAGGAAAACTTATTAGTTAGTTAATATCGGATTTTTTTGCGAGTAATGGTTTGGAAATCATGATGTTTGTATTTTGCATGCCTTAAGAATAATACCTAATAGTTTTTTAAATATTAATTTGAGCATGGCATCATAATTTAGAATAATATAATTTGGTTAGTTTACAAAATAATATATTTGTTCGCCTCGAGGAAAGGAGAATATAATCATAAGTATAACATGGCAATTACAATAACATAGTTAATTTGGTCACCACGAGGTATAATAATAACATGATGATTCAAAAAAAAAAAATATAATAAAAWTAAATTAATAGGTACACACTAACCAGTCACACGTTTGATCATCAATTATTCAAAATTAAATCGTAATTATAAATATAATAAAAATATATATAAACACATAAATGATTTTTATAATAATAATAACACACAATCTTTAAAAATTCTTTTCTACTAATTTCGCCAGATTTATTGATATAAGAATTGATTGTTAATTCTTTTGTTAAATATGCTCTATTTGAAATATATAAAGAAGTACACAACACAAAAAATAAGTTTTTTTTATTTAAAAGAATGTTCAGTTATAAGGATAATTGATAGGTATAGGTTTTACTTTTCTACTCACATTATTCAATAAGTTATGAGTAATTGAAAAAAGATGCGTGACGTCATTGGGCCCTACTCTTCGTAATCGCCTATCTTATCGTGTAAAAAATCCTCGCTTTGAATTTTTATTTCGTATTTAAATCGCCATGAAGCGCCGTTTAACAAAAATATCATTTTATAGATTTTAAATATTTAAAACGTCATATAGAAATTCTGATTCTTGCATCGTCTTAAACACACAAAACCACACGTATATACGTAAATTAACTTTCAAAAATAAAATGTTTTAGGTGGGTAAATCGTTGTGAGAAGTGAGGAACTTTTACACGTATAAGATAGGTGATTACGAAGAGTAGGGCCCAATGACGTCACGCGGGTATTTTACATTTTATAATATCTCTTAAAGTAATAATTTTTTTTACATCGGATTTTCACCTAACCATAGCTACAATAATTTAAGATTTAAAAATAAATTAAAGAATTTTTTTTTGTGTTGTGTGCTCTTTGAGTAAAATATAAAAAGCGCAATTGGTACAATGACCCTTAAATTTAAACAGCGCAATTGGCTTATTTACCCTAAAATACAAATTTTGTTTTAGGCGCAATTGGTCCATGCCCTTATGCATAATTGTGAACTTGTGATTTCCATCACCATGTAATTTAATTATTACAATATTATAAAAGTAATATTTACTAACATTAAAT